GGTGGTTGGATCGGCCACCGCGCCCACTGCGTGCACCAGGTCGACCACCACGGAAGGATTCAAGAATCTTGATGGGCAAGGTTGGCTTGGGGTTGCGAGGTAGGGGTGTTAGAGCCCGATAAGGATTCAAGAAGATTGACGGAGATAAGATTCTTCTTCTTGAATTTCTCAAGGCGGGATTCATGGGCAAGAAGGAGGGTTTCAACCTCTTCGATGGACAAAACATCAAAGCGGCTGCTGATTAGGGAGACCGTGACTCGTATTCTTCTGGTAGACCTTCAAGAACAATATCCAAATGTTCCTTAGAGGAGATAGAGTCACCAATGGCTATGAGAGAATCAACTAGGGATTGGATGCGGAGAAGATAATCGGAGATGGTGCAGTTGTCAAGGGTGGTGCTGCGAAGGTCACTGCGGAGTTGGCGGGCTTTAGCGTTTGTGTGGGCATGGAAGTACGCATGGATCTTGTCCCAAATCTGGAATGAGGACTTGCAACCGATGACGCGGGTGAGCATGTCCTTGGACATGGAGGATTGCAACCAGGAGAGAAGTAACTGGTCTTGCTGTTCCCAAGCCAGATACTCTTCGGAGACGCGATTTTCATCTCTGTCGGAAACCGTGAGAAATTTCGGAGGAATTTGAGGATTGACCAGAAAATGATGAAGACGATGGCCTTTTATGACGGGTTCAGCTTGTTGACACCAAAGAAGATAATTCTTGGTGTCAAGTTTCTCAGAAATAGTATGGGCAAAGGTGAGGGAGGGAGATAGAGAGGGTTTTACAGGGGCAGCTTGAAAGTGTGGTGGTGCAGTTGAGGAGGACGATGGTGGTTCGTCGGCCATAAGGAAAGACCGGCAACGAGAAAGAAGGGGGCTGAGAAAGAGGGGAGGAGGGATTAAAAGGGATAAGATGGAGGAGGATCGATGAGCTCTATGATACTATATTGAGTAACAGAAAGAATTGTGATGAGAGAGTTGTGAGAAGAAGAGAGATTGAGTGGAAGCAATTCAGTAAAGAAAGAAATTATAATTAACATTACAACTTGTCTATTTATATGTATCTATAGCTTCAAAGGAAGCTATAGATACATTGACCTGTTGAGCAGGTAACCAAACCAGAAAACAGAAAAATAACTAACAGATAACCAACTAATACAAGAATAAAAATAATACAATACGAAGAAGTAAAGATATACTCCAATACAAACTATTACTAGTTTTTATTTTATTTAGTTTCAAAATTAACTCACTTTGAAAGTTTTCTATTTTGTTAAAATTAGTTTAAGCGTGTTTTTATGGTGGTGGCAGTGGTGGCAGTAGCACGAGGGGTCATTGTCAAATGTTAGTGACAATTTTTTTTTTAAACTAACCAAATTTTCAAATCATTTTTTTTAAATGAATGTAAAAGTAAGTGTTTTGAATGAGTTAAAATTAAAAACCATTTTAGCTCTATTTTAGCAAAATGTGCTTTGTTTTGAAAATCAAAAACTCACAACCACTCCCAACAAGCCCTTAATTTTTAAATGTTGGTTTTTCTTATCTCATTTTATACACATAATATTGTAGTTATTTCAAATGATAGTTTCTGTACATGTTTCTTGTGTTTTTTTTTTTTTGATGAATATGTTTCTTGTGTTTACTTTTGAGGTTAGTTGCTTATTAATTAAATATTACATTTTTTTCCCTCTTTAGCAATAGCTTTGGTAATAACTTGTTCTTAAGATTCATGTGAATTTCCTTCAATCATTTCTTAGCTTTTAAAAATCCTTGTTTGGTCCCTATGCACTGAATGATTTAACTAGTACCTTTGTCTCTTAACAATTGTTTGGAGGGCATGAGTGAGGTCAGCAAGTCTATACTAGAAGGCTAAAATTCACAAGTCTTGGTTGCATTTGTATTGTTATCTGACAGCTTGTAGTTTGCTCTACATTTAAAGAACTGTATGTGGATGCACTGATGGTTTTATTCTTAGGGTGTGTAACATTCTCATTCTTGAAGACTTGAATTTATTAAAGTAATTAATTTCTCTATCTTGTTTCTGCATTGCAGGTGATCGCTAAATTAACAGATGGAAAGGCAACTCATATTCCTTATCGAGATTCAAAGCTCACTCGGTTGTTACAATCATCCCTCAGTGGCCATGGACGGATTTCTGTCAGTACAATTGCTCTTTATGCTAGTTGTAATTCGTAAACATTTGTATGGCTAACTAATGTTTGAAAATGACTCGACTATGGTTTGGTCTTTTGAAGCTCATTTGCACAGTTACTCCTGCTTCTAGCAGTAGTGAAGAGACACACAACACATTAAAGTTTGCACACCGGAGTAAGCATGTTGAAATCAAAGCTTCTCAAAATAAGGTGAGTTTATATGAAATGTTGATAATGTGATAACTTCTAGACATAAATAAGGTGAGTTTATATGAAATGTTGATAATGTGATAACTTCTAGACATAGTGATTTCATGCTATTAACTTTTAGCTGATTCCCTTGTACTAGATTATGGATGAGAAGTCTCTGATCAAGAAGTATCAGAGGGAAATTTCTGAGTTAAAGCAGGAGCTTCAGCAACTGAAGCGTGGAATGGTTGAGAATCCCAATATGGCCACATCTTCACAAGAAGATCTGGTTAATTTGAAGCTTCAGGTTTGTGCTGATGCATATAAATTAGATCATCTGAAAAGGACACTATACTTGGTGGAAGACTTTATAATATGCCAGAATAAAATGTCGTGTCTTGACTCTCAAATATGCAGTGCTAATTTATCATTGCACATCAAAACTGATATCCATAAATGGTATGATGTTTCTTTCTTCACTTCCCCATAATAAGCATTACTTCATTATGTAATAGCTTGAAGCTGGTCAATCCAAATTGAAGTCGAGATTGGAAGAGGAGGAACAGGCTAAAGCAGCATTGATGGGAAGAATTCAGCGACTAACCAAATTAATCTTAGTTTCTACAAAGAATGCAATGACTTCAAGCATTCCAGAAAGGCCTAGCCATAGGCGAAGACATTCTTTTGGGGAAGATGAGGTGTGTTTATTTACATGGGAACTCCATTTTGTGTGGCATTCAATTATATGCTTTGGAATTTAATCTTGTAATGCCATGTCTTTTAATTAATGTGTTGTTTTGTGATACAAATTTCCAGTTTCTTGGAATGGCTAGTAACATTGTAAATATTATTTGTGATAATGATTAATGTTTGTCCTTATTTGAATGCAGCTAGCATATTTACCAGATCGAAAACGTGAGTCCTGGGTTAATGATGACACAGGGAGCCATGCTTCAGTTCCTTCAGCAGAAGAAAAGGATGACATTGCAAATTTAGATGAATTGGTGAAGGATTATAAAAGAAGCAAAAGGCGTGGAATGCTTGGTTGGTTGAAGCTGAGAGTAAGCTATTTTCCTATTTATTTGAACTTATATTATTTATTGTGTTATAAATAATTGATTAACTGATTGATAAGTATAGAAGTTAGTATCGATGTATAAAATAATAATACAAAAATCCCCATTCATAAATGATATGTACTGTAATTAAGACCAACACAGGAAAAATTTGGGAATTTCTGCCAAGCTTAGGTTTGTTTGTATTTGACAATTAGGATTGCTCTATCTAAATTTTATGTGAAAATAGTATTTTATATTTATTGTTATCCAACCGACAATATATGCTGCTAATGCAGAAACCTGATAACGGTGATGGATCATTGCCAAATGTTGATAGTGAGGGCTCTGCAAATGGTTCACCTGCATCTGCTTCAAAATTAACTCCAAACAGAGTCATGCTTCATGTCATGAAAGATTCACGCAGGAATTCAGTTAGCAAAAAGGATAATGCTTCAGCTCTCAATTCTTTTCCAGGAAGAACTCAAGCAGGTGATTTGTTCGGTGTAACTGTTGGTGGTCGTCAACTTCCTCCGGTGAGATCTCAAATACTAGTGTGATCAATGTTTCTGAAAAGACACATGATACATCTATCTTGAAACTGGTGAATCTTATGGATGTGAACCATAATTATGCTAAATGACTATCTTGCAGACTGGGACTACTGTAACTGATCAAATGGATCTTCTGCGTGAACAAGTAAAAATGTTGGCTGGAGAGGTGGCATTTTGTATTAGTTCTCTGAAAAGACTGTCTGAACAGGCAGCTAACAAGCCTGAAGATATTCAACTACAAGTGAGCTTTTTTATTTAAGATTGACAAATGAAGACCAAATTTAATATTTCATGATAAAACAGGGTGGGTTATTTTGGTTATAATGACAGGAAGACATGCACAAGTTGAAGGGTGAAATTAGCCAAAAGAAGAATCAAATCCGTATCCTAGAGCAACGGATGATTGGATCACTAGGACATGCACCAAGTAACAACGAAATGTCTCAGGTAACTGAAATTAAAATCTGCTCAAAGCCACCTTATAAATACAGCTATATTCAGTGAAGAACAATTAAAATAATTCTATCTAAAAACTTGTAGCATCTTGCTGTTCTTTCATGCTATATAAATTTGCATTGTGATAAGAAGTTTATTGCTGCCAAATATCATTATAGGTGTAATTGTTAAAATCCCAAAGTATATATTTCATGTTATCATGCATCGTGGTGAACAAAAACAAAGAATTATATATAATGCAGTGTGCTACTATCCATGGTTAACAGGGAAATTTAATCCAAGAACAGCAATAAAAAAACAGTCAACTGACATGATCAGATCATTTATCTTATTTAAGCTTCTTAATGGATTCCCCCTACCCTAACCCCCCCCCCCCCCCCCTTTATGAAACTAGTAATTGTCATCATCAACCCCCACATCTTTATTTCATCTGTGCTTTCTCACATCCAACAATCTAACCCCCCCCCCCCTCCCCTTTTATGAAACTAGTAATTGTCATCATCAACCCCCACATCTTTATTTCATCTGTGCTTTCTCACATCCAACAATCTATGTTTGTGGCCCTCAATTTACTCTGACTTATCCTCTGTTTTGGACATCTCTTGCTCTGGAGTTAAGTCTTTCTTGTCTTTCCTTTATAGCACTTCACTTCAGAATTCTTTATTTACTATTTCAGTATTTTTTTTTCTGGAATAATTTGTTATATCGTGGCTTAACAGTACATAATCTTAAAGATCAGTGTGAAGTTGAACAATAAGAAATATTGGGGAGTTGGATTCCATCTTAAAACCAACTGCCATCTTGTGCCCTAGTAATTGTGGCAGTCGAGACTTTCCAACATCCCCTGCTCCATTGATGCCTATCGAACTGGGCAACCAATACACAGTGGAAGTGATGGAGATTTCACCCACAAACCACAGAAATAATAGAGATGGCTGTGACTCCATGTTATATTCCATCTCAAAACCTATTGACATTAAATGACATTGTGCAACAAACATATAGACCATGGTGAAATTATGGGTTTAGGTATAAAGGAAGAAAGAAAAGGGAAACACTATATTAATGTTATCATTTATCAATCCCGGATAGTGGTGCGTAGGGGCTGACCCCAAAAACGCTATACACAGTTTATATTATTTATACTAGATACATATAAATGTTAAAAAATTAAAAACAATGCTAAAAAATCTTAACATGTTCATAATTAACAATAACGAGTTATAGGTCTCAGCTCTTACGCATACAAGTAAATAGTAACAAGGGATACCATGTTTAACGAAAGAGAGAAAAAAGGAGTAAATGCAGTTTGGGTCTTTGGGAGATAGAGAGAAAAAAGGAGTAAATGCAGTTTGGGTCTTTGGGAGATAGATTACCAAAAAAGGACCTTAAAGACTTAGACTAGAGAGACAATAAACAGAGAACGCAGACTGATGGAACAAAAACAGGAGAAAATAGAAGAAAAAAACCTGGAGAGACAAAAACATGGAAGACACAGATTGATGAGAATAAGAGAACAACGGGAACAAGATTACAAGAGAAAAAAAACTGAGATTGAGAGGAGACAAGTTATAAAAGCTGTTTGATGGGTCGTGCAGTAGTTGCAAGGTAGGAGAGGAGACAAGTGAGGCATGATTGTTATGAACTTTGCAAGGGTTTTCTAGAAGCTGAAACCCTTTTTTAACCCAAAATTATCTCTATAAAATGCCCCCCTAGCATTAATATTGGAGGCCATTCTGGATTTTGGACACCATCAGCATAGTGGTGTTATATCTTCGTGAAATGCAGCTATTTTGGCTGCTATTGTGGTTTCCAGAAATGCTACAGTGAAGTGTAATGCTATGGATGTGCATATAGCATCCAGGGGCTTGTACACATCTCTACGCTGCTAAAGCGTGCTATTGACAATGCTGCTATCTGTTAACGGATGGATTCTATGTTAATGTATTTATTTCTTCATAAAACCTAGAATGCTATAACGCTGACCCTTACTTAGTTATTTAAACTAATCATAATGGTAGCTAGTCAGGGAAACAAATCAAGATAAGAAAAGGAAATATGGCAACCAATTCTAAGATAAAGAGGAAATAGGGAAATTAATCCTTGAGCATAATCTATTATAAGATATTTTCATATATTCTAGCAGATTGCACCCAGGTAATTGAAGCAGGCAACAGAGAGGGTGTTACTAGACTAATAAATTTTGATAGAAATTTCTGTAGTTGCCCACGGTCATTAACCCAGTTGGTACCGCTTCTGTTTGAGTTTCTAGTGCAGGGTCCTAAGCTCAACAAACGAGGACCTATAATTAATTGTCTTTTCCCTAGTAGAGAAATCCTTCCCCACTTTTTTTTTGGGTAAAAAATAGGAAAAATTGTACTCACTTTCCCTAAAGTCTGTTTAAATGACACACACTTTCCCTCTAATTTTTCAAAACCACTCATTTCCTTTACAATAATATCATTAGTCAAAATGAGAGAGAAAAAAAAAGTTAATTTATATTCTGCCAATTATATATGCATCTATCATTCATTTTTGAATTACATACAATGCTGTCTTTTTTATAAATTTTTTTTAAAGTTGGTATATTTTTTAAATCACAATAAGTATGATATTTATGATATAATTTGGGAGTTAAAATTGAGTAAGAGATCGAGTCTCATTCAATTGTTGGCACTTGCATTAATAACTTTTAATAATGCACAAATAGTGTTATTTTATATAAGGAGTTCTATGAATCACTTAGATAAATAAATGAGAGAAGTTAGTATTCACTTAAAGATTAAAGGGACTGTGTGTCATTTAAAAAGACCTCAGGGGAGGTCAATGCAATTTTTCCTAAAAAATAAAGCCTATCGTACCCAAGGTTTTTTTAGAGTTTTCAATAGTGATGACTTCTCCTTTTGCATGGTTGTTAATGATAGTTTATATATAGCAATGTATTAACAAACTTCCTTTTTTTTTGCTAAAATAAAAATTGGGGTATATTTTATTTCTAAGCTTCAACCTACCTTTACTTAATTTCTGATGTAGGCTCTATCCAAGCTTACCACTGAACTCAATGAAAAGATTTTTGAACTTGAGGTTCGTTGTCTTATCCTCTTGATAGTTTTAGGATGGTTTAAATTGCGTTTAGCTATTATAAATCTGAGTATTATACTAAGATGTTCTATCATGTTAATTGAGCATTCAAGATCAAGTCTGCAGATAACAGGATACTTCAAGAGCAACTGCAATTGAAGGTATATTATGCAATTGTATGACCTTTTAAGGGGAATTGTTGCTATTCCTGACATTTGCTAAACTTCTACAGAATTCAGAGAATGTTGAGATGCAAGAGACAATTATTTCACTAAAGAAACAGATAAATTTGTTGTTGGATAAAACCTCAACTAATTTTCAGCACGTTGCTGCTAGTGAGACTGGCTATTCTAGGGATGTGTTGGGAAAGACCGATGAAGCACGGTCAGTCAAAAACTTGAATGCAACAGTCTCTGAAGCGCATCCGAAGCAAGGAAGTAGTGATCCAAATATAAATTCTCAAATTCTTATGCAGGTTATATCTCTCTCTTTCTCTCTGTGGCACTTTCTGCTGGAGGAAACTCAAACTATTGGCATAATAGATAATCATGAGAACTGATTCCTAGATGTTTTTGATTGTTTGTGTTTCAGTAGAAGTGATTTTCTTTTTTAATATTAAATTGTGCAGGCAGCTGAAATAGATAATTTAAGGCAAGAGAATGCGAGATTGGTGGAAGAGAAAGACGGGCTTGAAATTCAAAGTCATAAACTTGCAGAAGAAGCTTCATATGCAAAAGAGTTGGCAGCAGCTGCAGCAGTTGAACTCCGAAACCTGGCTGAAGAAGTGACTAAACTTACTTATGAAAATGCAGAACTGACTGGTGATCTGGCAGCTGCAAAAGTGGCCTCTTGCAAATCCAGCTTTTCTCCAACGTCTTCACAAAATATAAATAATAGTTTTCAACGAGATGCGCAATCGAAAAAGCTGGGGAATGAAGTTCGTATTGAGGAGTTGCAGAAGGACCTTAATGCTAGATTCCAAAAAGAAGCTGCATTAGAAGCAGCTCTATCTATGAAAGTTGAAATAGCTGACCTGAGAAGGACACTAGATGAAATAAAACACCAAAAACAAGATTTGGAATATGAGCTTACAAACATGCAGATGTTGGTAGCCAAGATGAGAAAGCATGGCATTAATGGTGAGGATAAGTCAACAGTTCATATGGCTAATGATGTACAAACCAAGGTTAAAAATGGACTTCCAACAACTAATGGCTACTCTCGTAGAAAACAATGCAAAGAGGATGAAATTTTAGGAAGCATGGAAGATATGATTGCATTAGAAGAACTGAGGGCTAATTATCAAAGAGAAAGAAGAAGATGCAAAGAACTTGAAAGTCATATTTCTATATTGAAGGTATGCCATTCTCATTATCAAATTAAATATTTCATCTATGTTTCATGGTAATATGAATCATGCTCATAATCTGCATTGATTAAATTCTGGTTGACTTTGCACTAAGATCAAGGGTGAGAAAATGAGTTTTGGAGACTGTTTCAGGAGAGATGATGAAGAAAGAGAAAATTGAGATTAGGTAGACTGGAAAGGGAAGATCATTGAGATGTACTCTCATGAATATAATATGATTAACTAAATAGCAAGTTCGATAAGTCTATAATTTTTACAAAAAGTAATTTCTGACAACGATAACTGGTAAAAAATGTGGATAAACTTTTCAATGAGGATAAATGAGACTACGAGCACAACTACATACGGGTATGAAAGAATTGACCTCAAATTCAATTGCGGCTGAGATTCTTCGTATATATGTTGGGAATGTAGACATTGAATTAAGGAAAACAGGAATTTAAAAAGTGAAAAACATAAATGCTTTAATATCTGGATTTTTAAAGACAATGGCCGGCAGGAGTAACGAAAGGGTATCAAGAAGACTAGAAAAATGAAATTCAGGATACTGTTCAACCGTATGATTTAATTAGAAAGATTATATTCCATAGAGAATGGTTACAGACAGGTGCTAGTTGCTTGGTCTTTCAAACCTGATTTCCCTGTTTGCAATTTTCTATTTGCACTCATAATAGAATTTTGTTTTGGAGGGTAGGAATTATAAATGGCACGGGTTAATTTCGTAGGTGGCCATGTTTCTTGCATCACATATGCCTAGGCTTGGTTTTCTGATTTCTCTACACAAAGAGAAAGAATTGCAAATGATATCACTTTTAACTATTTAATAGGGTGAAGATATCGCTGGTCTGGATGTCATGGCTCTTGAAGAACTTCAAAACCTTCATATTGAGGCAATAACAAAGATTTGCCATGCAAAGGTGATATTTCTCACTTGCCTGCCTTTCAACAGTAAATTTGCATTGTCAATGCTTGTGTCCCTTGAAAATTTTGATACATATTCCAGGGTCATCTTTTATGTTCATTCATATTCTGGAAAAGTAAACATCAACTCCGTCTTAGATGCTATTTCGGATGAGTTATTGCTAGATATGTTTTAAAATTGGCAACTTTCTAATACCCAAAATAACGTTTCTTGTACAAAGAGTAACCTCATTTTCCTACTTCATGTTGAGAAATTTTCTTAATCTCTGGCGACCAATCTGTCATGACTGATGAACTTTCTTTTACAACTTGCAGTATGCAAATCAAAACTTGTAACATCATGCTGTTGGCTGCTGTGAGTGTTGTACTCGGGATTTTTGAAGTTGGTATCAAATATCAATTCATAAAACTGCAATCCAGAAACTATGTTCCTAATTCAGGTGTTAACTTAATATGCTCTATTATTGCAGGTACAGTATATTTTGTAAACATAACAAAACACTGACAATCATTCTCAATCATCCTTGTAATGGTGTATGGAAGCATTGAAGGCCTATCCGCTTGTTTAGTGAATAGCTACTTGCTACTGACGGGAATTGAGGCCCTTCAACTTCAAGAATTTTTCTCTAGCTAGGATCAGTAACTGTAGCTTGTATTGTTTGGAAGTTGCCATTTACAAATTCACAAAATGAAGCTTATGAAGCATAAAATATTGTAGTAAGGCGACCAAAAAAAAATGTATGTATATATATGTTGTACCATATGGAATTTTATATATGCTATCTAATGTACATCCGAGCACCCACTTCTCAATAATTCATTGACCATCTGTTACTTCATAAGATGCTGGGCAACGTTCCCCAAAGAGACCCAAATTGGCTGCGTATGGGTGTGGAAAATCACCTTCCAAATGACTATTAACACTGTTAATGAACAAGAAAAAAAAAATCCTTGTAAGACTTGTGGCATTCACAATTATGTAAGAAATTAAGAGAAATTTTTTGGGAAACCTGTCGCAATTTGAAGAAACCCATCCAATCTGCTGTTTCTCGTTGTCATATATCACGATTTTATCTTGTAAAGAGATGTCTGAGAGCGACAGAAAGTGTATTACCTTCATATTATCAAATAAAAGAGAAACAAAAGTGGAATTGTTTACACTCTGTTGAGATTTGGCATGCCTTACCTCCTATTATGTTAAGATTTTCTAGTCCTACTTCAGTGCCATCCAGAATCCCCAAGCACACATTACCATGATTCTGGAACAGGACAGAATATTAGACAATTTCATTTGTTGCCTTCACTACTGAGGCAGAGAAGTTCAGTCTTAAAAGTGCTCACAGTGATAATTAGATAAGCTTCTGGTGGTAGATGCATCTGCAAATTATTGGAGTTTGTGAAGCTCAACGCTAGGGGCTTGAAATATTTCTTGACATCACTTAAAGAGTTGAAAGACTTTGCACCCTTCCAACAAATTGGAAGTGATGGATCCTCGGTTGCCCTTTTCAACTGTTTTCCCTTTAAATCATTAGTTACCTGAATTATGGATCAAGGATTATTAACCGAAGATGGCAGGCTAAATCTCTAGGCCATATAAGCAATGAAATTGATTACTAAAATTGAGACTCTGCAGATTCCATCTTACCAAGTCAACAATAATTTGATAGGTTTGGGAGTTGAAGTATGTGTAAGAGCTCCCACTGTCGAAGATAAGTTCAAGACCCTTAACAGTAGTAGCCTTTTCATTGAAATACAGATCTGCTGGTCCTAAGCTGTAGTGTTTCCTGAAGTAATGATTGTTTGCAAAATTTCAAGTTCTCACGAGTGCCAATACATGTGAAACAGAACCATCTCAGAAGGAGCAATAACATCAATTTGAACTTACTCTGAAGAACTAGGCAACATGGGTGTCCAAACTATTCCTGATGAGGGAATGAGATCATATCCAAAGAATAAAAACCCTCCTCCTCGTGCACTTAAGCAGTGGCCAACCACATTGCGGATCAGACCCAAAGAATGAAGCTGAGACAAAATGCTTGCTCTGCCATTGCCAAGGCCAAGGACTCCTGCTGTGGTTGGGGAGGTAAAACCAGAATACTTTTGATCATATCCACACCTAGCCATGCATCAGACAAATCAACTCTTAATTGTTCAGAAAGCTGAATGGCAAACTTTAGCTCCAAGTTGAAGCCGTGGTAACTTTTCTTAGGTGTAGATTAATACTGCTCCGGTTCCCTATATACTAAAGCATCATTTCACAATCATTTTTTTTTCTTATATTTTTCCATCACAACTTCACCAATAAGAGCATGTTGGGTAACTTCTCTAGAAATACTTCTCAAAGAGAAAAATAGGAAAGAAAAATGAAATAAGCTTCTTTATTAACTAAAATTAATTTATACATAAGCTAATTTATTGAAGCTCATTACTATTAACTTCTATTAAAACTTATTTTTAACTTATGCACAAGTTAGCTTTAACTTGTGAAAATGTTATTTTGATTTTCCTTATTTTTTCCACCTAAAAGTGCTTTTGGATATATATATCCAAACAAATAACAGATGCAACCACTGTTAATCATGAGGATGGAAACAAAACGCTCACCCAAAGGCTATCCTAGGGCGCACCACAGAGCCATTAGTGAATTGAAGGGGAACATAGTCCCGGACTAGCACACCCAGAGATGATCCATGATCTGCATACTCAACTTCATAGTCACATTGGTCATCTGGTGAAGCACAATGATGGTCTGTTGATAAGTGCACTTCAGAACACAATTGGTCCACACATTGCACAAGGTTGTGATTGGGTTTATAAAGTTGATCACGAGGCTGCAAAGATTGTCACCAGGTAGAATAACTAATTCTGAGGATAGAATAATTTTACTGCTCATACTTCAGAAAAAGTCCTAATCTTAGTTTTAGCATACCTTGGTGCAACCTTTACATGGTGCATCACACTGAACCCAAGTGAGGTCACTACCTGAGTCAATGTCAAGGTCGTAAAGCTTGGGGGGATAGCCAATGTTGAGGGACACTGTGTAATGTCTGCATAGAGAGGAATACAGGTATTTTTCATGGAACCAGTATAGTTTAAACTAAACCAAATTTTCACTTTAGAAATTCTACTATAATTTTCCTTTTTTTTTTTTTTTCTTTTTTTCCAAAAAGTGACCTATTGTGTGAGATGGGGTCCAATTTGTGAAAGGAAATACCCCCCAGAACATAAAAAAGTTAAAAAGGGCGAGTCAAACCTACTTTTTATTCTTTCTCTTGATAAATTAGAAATTGAATGGTAGGTAAATGAAACAGCAGATACTTGGCATAAGCGATATGAATAATCCCAGAAAACTAGATCTGGAACTAATTCTATAAGAACTGATCAAAATCAGAATTCCATTTTTTTTCTTCTTTAAAATATAGGAGACAGAAAAAATGATTCAGAAAAATAGCATAACTCAACACCGAACAGTATAACTAAAACAAAGTTATCCAAAAAAAATTAAAACTTTGATTACACATTTATACTAAACAAGGACTGAGAGAAAAATGAAGAATAAGCAAGTTGATACTCCATGAAGAAGAAGTTGGAACAAAAGAATCATAGGATAGAATAACAACATACCCAAGAGGGTAGACATTTCCTTGAACTTTGAAAAGAGCTGAGGAGGAAAGGCGATGATTATGAGAAGATGGGGTGGTGGGCTTCTTGGCGTTGCGGGGTTGATTGGAAGCTGAGAAAGAGAGTGGGAAAATGGCAGAAAATAGAAGAAATAGCAAAGGCAAGTGCAATGATATTGCTTTGCTTTTAACATCCATAGTTTATGAGAGGGTGGAAAAGTTTGCAATGATGATTGTGGGAAAGGTTGTGACTGAAACCTTAACAAGTGATGAAACAGAAAAAGAAATGAAAAGGGAAGAAGTTTTGGACACTGAAATAGAGCATTCACTGCGTGTCTATTTTCTGGCTCATGTTTTGGTCGGGGGGGCAGTTGGCAGATACCAACGTGATTTAATGCTTTATGATTTTTTTTTTTAATTTTAACTAATAATTATTATTTTTATATTATTCAACTCATTATTCTTAGATGTAAAAATAGTAATTTTTTTAGTAACTAATAGGCTATGTATTATCTAGTCATAAGATTATTATGTATGGTAATTTTCCGTTTTATATAATAATTAGTTTTAATGTATTATTTGGTCTTAAATTTTTGAAAAATTTTAATTAGGTCTCTAAATTTAAAACAATATAATTAGATTTTTTTTTTGTAATTTAGTCTTCGTAGTTAGAGTATTGTTTACAATCTATGAAATTTAACAAAATATTATTTATATTTTCATATTTAGATAATTACATTATATTATTACTTCATCTATTTGTGTCACATTTTAATTTCTAGCCGTTAAAGTTCTTGTAATCTCTTTAATCATTAATCTCTCTAAACTCTTATTCCATATTTATTAAAAAAAATTCTAATCTTCCTAGTGGTAGAAGGGTTTGTTGTAGGGATGGAAAAATGAGTTAAGGCATGCGGGCCCACCAAAAAATAATGGGCCAGGCCAAGCATTATGGTCCGCCAACCCGCTTGGCTCGCCTTGCTAGCTCGCTTGGCCTGTCTTGCCTAACTTGTCAACTCTTCGGGCCAAATGGTGGGACTGGACAAACTGGCCCGCCAACTTTTTTTTATATTTTTTTTATATGTATAATGAGAGTAGTGGAGACAACTTATTATAAGGAAGAATCTAATGTTCTTGAAGTAGATGTTAAAGAGTAATTGTTTTTGTGTTTGATTTGTGAAGTACTATTAGTAATTTCTAATTTGTATTTGATTTGCTTGTAAGTTGTAATTTTTAAGTTTGTAATGTGAATTTGTTAAGCAGACATACAATATGCATTTTCAATTTTAAGAGCTTGAACTAATTTGAATTTTGTAAAACCTCATTTTTCCAGGTTTTTTTTAATGCGGGCTAGCTTGCTGGCTTGCCAGCCTGTCTTTAGACAAGACAAACCAAGATTTTCAACCTATTTTTGATTGGCGGGCCAGCCTATCCCAACCCGATCTATTTTTCGCGAGCCACTAGCAGGCTAGGCCTAAACGGGTTAGGTTGGGCCATTTTGTCACCCCTAATTTGTTGTGGAAGGTTACAATTTTCATAAAATGATTAGTCGATTGAAGCCTAACTTTATTGTTCATTTAGGGTCACACTCAATGTTTTAAAACTTGAACTAATGATTGATTCGTAGAGATATTAGGTCAATAGGTCACTAGTTGAATTGATGAGTCATAAATTGAACTACATAAATTGTTATAAATAAAATATAATTAATTATATGTTATATATTATTATGTTTGTTATATATGTAAACAAAAATTTATGTGGTTGAGTGGTTTAGGTAACCTTATAAAAGTTCTTGGTTGAGGGTTTAATTCTTACAACATGCTTTGGCAATAGTTGAAAGGAGGACTTGTGACAAGCTTGTAGGTTTGGAACTCTTGGACAAATCATTTTTGGTTCGATAAAAAAAAATACTAGGGTTGAACTCGATTTTTCACTGGTTTGATTACGTCATCACCAGGACACAAACACATTCAATCCAATAGTTGGCTCAAATTGGTACTAGGTCTAGTTCCTGGTTAGACTCGGGAGTCCAATATGAATTTTAAAACTTTGGTCACAATTACAAGGAATTATTTTTAGATGAAAAGAAAATGCTAGAGCCTTTGAAGTTGAAATCAAGTAGCTCTCATGTTTGTGTGATAAGTGATTGTTGGACTTCAAACCAAAATTTGTCCTACACATGTTTAATTGTCCATTCCATTGATCACTGCAAAAAAGAATGCTTAATTTTTCTAAATTAAAAATTATAAAGGTGAAACCATTGAAAGAGAAATTGAGAGATACTTAAGAGAATATGCTATTGAAAACGACTTTACTATGAGAATTGATAATGTTAGTTCAAATGATGGGGCAATTTCACTCCTTCAAAAAAATGTTAGATGTAAGGGATGGACTAGTGTGTGGTGGCAAAATATTTACACGAGGTGTTATGTTCATATTCTAAATTTGGTGTAAATGAAGGCATAAAAGAACAAAAAATTTGTTTGTTGAAAGAATTAGAAATGTTGCACTTTAGGCCTTTCCCTCAAAGACTTAAGAAATTTAAAGAATGCATTCTGATTAAATGATTAGTTGTCAAAGTAATATATGCCTAAATGTTCCAACTAGGAATAATTTAACATATATTATGTTAGAACATGTTGAAAAGTTAGAAAAAGAATTTAATCAACCATATGATCTAGAATTAGACTTTTGGAAATGGTTATGTGAAAAGGAAAAGGGAAAAAAATGTTGGGCTACCTACTATCCTTGATCGATAGCATATTACGAAATTTATTCAATTTTTAAAAAATTTATATGAAGTGACCATGAGTTTCTTCAATTCTTTATGTGTGACAACTAACTTATTTCCATGAAATTGTAACTGCAATGACCTGTCATTGTCCCTACATTTAACAATTTTTACTAATAGAATAAAATAACATCTATCTACCTAGGATTAATATATAAACAATATTGCGATATATGTATAATAATATATATTGTAAAATTTTAAACAACAACTAAAGGTATATAATAACTACACAAGTATATCAAATATGTACAATAATCCAGTATTGAATACTAATACTAAGTTGTCGATCAAGCAACTCAACTACACCAGATACGTCAAAGTAGCCTTAAAAAATCAACTCTGCCATTACCAACAAGGCCACATAAGACTCCACCTACAATTTATCCTTTTCCTGCTCCCATATAAATATAATCATTATAGTCCAATTACTAAGAAAATATACAAGGATAAACTAAATTATAAAAGAATAAACATACAATAAGTATAGAAAGAATACAACTATACTATCAAAAACATCAACGTGTAAACCATACAACGAGATCACACCATGGTCTACAACTTAGCACCACAACAAAATCCCTCAAGATGGCATTCAACATCTTAGAAGATAACCAACTTAACAACATATGAAAATTCATATTTCACCACATCAATGCCTCTCAACAACATTCTCAACAAAGCATATGAAAACACCACAACCAAAAGCAACACATCATATGCATAACACCTTAACTACATGTGTCGTTACGTATTCACCTCCAAAGATCTCTTACAACAAAGGTGAGTAGTCTCATTGGCTTGACCATACTGAACTAACATGATTTTTTTACACTTGCTAGATCAACATCCAAATTGGGATACCAATTCATAACAACATGATTTCTCGGATGTTGCCACTTAAATTAAAAAGTATAGTATTCCTGTTAAGGTATAACAACTTGCGTATGAGTCTACCACAACATTAGCTTGCATAACTAAGTCTCTTATGAATTTAATCCGCCGACTATTCTCCAAATATTACGCCCTTCTAGTGCTCAATTAGGGACTAAGCCCCTGACCTTGTACCTTATTCGATTGGTCATTTTATACATGTATGTCTCAACCTTTCCCAAACACAAATCCACATTGGTTACTTATAGTCAATATGCCTCGATCTACCCCACATATTGCATCGACTAAAATTCGAGAGGTGATTCAACTATCTACATCAAGAGTTAACAACTCAACAAGGATTTTTAACAACTAGGCACGTAGAATACCATACCGGCATCCTCACAATGGGATATCCATCTTTAAAAAACACCATCTCTTTTAGTCCTAAATTAATCAACAAATCATACCTAAATGCATAAAACATTCCCAACATCAATACCTCCACAATTCAACAATTAACAAACATATCATGCCTAAATTCTTAAAACATTCTATATCAATGTGGTGTATGAAAGACTAAAAGACTAGTATAGTAGAGATTATGAATTAAGTACAACTACAATTTTTTTATCTTATATATAATTACATTTTGATGTGGTATATTTTGTGATAATTAGTTCTTATTTCACATACAATATACTATGGAAGTTGACCATTATGATTCACATTAATGAATATTATATTTAAACCAGTGTTTTAAAACCCGGACCGACCCGGCCGGTCGGACCGGTTGGACCGAGAACCGGTGGTCCAGCCGGTCCGAATCTGAAGTTGGATCGGTTATGCAGTCGACCCGTTTCAAACCGGATTGAACCGGTCAATTTTCCGGTTCAACCGGTGAACCGGTGGGTCAAACCGGTTCAACCACTTTTTTTTCTTTTTTTTTTAAATTTTTTTAAGGGACCATAAATCACAAAAATAATAATGAAAATTGAATCTCTTAATGAAAAAGCAAGGAGTCTTATTAAATATAATAATGACTACTTGTTCTAATATATTTGTTTGCAATATATACAACTTAAATAACTTTTATAGTATATTATTAATTTTAAATTATATATTTAATAATGCAATATCTATGTAAATATTACATATATTATTTTGTGATATTAATTGCAAGCATATTATATATGTACATATTATTTATATTTTTAATTTATATTAATATACCGTTTAACATGTAATTTTTTTATGTATTTTTTTACAAAATAAAAATAAAAATAATTTTAAATAAGATAGAAAAATTGAAATTTAAAATAAGATATGAATTTATTAAAATTTATAAGTATAAAATATATTTAATATGAATATTTTTTTAATAAAAATAAATAAAAATCGAGTCATGCGGTTCAACTAGTGACCCACCAGTTCAACCTTTGACCCACTGACCCAGTACCTTAACCGGTTCGATGACCGGTCCGGTTTTTAAAACTATGATTTAAACAACGTTTTTTTTTCTGTTGTTAGTTTTTTCAAATTTTATTTTATACTTAATAATATTGTTATAACTTTAAAAACATTTTTCTACTTTGTATTATTTTCTCAGTTGCAACTTGAGCCTGAATATAAAATAAAAACCGTTACTTATATGTGTGCAGCATTTGAACGAGGAGAGTAGAAAAATCACTATTCATAATTCATAAAATACATTAAAATTAAAATTATATCATATTATATTATATGTAATTATCTTATTTGTATAAAATAATAAACATATTACTTAATTAAATTATGCAGTTAAAAATAATCTATTTATCTTAATTTAAGTTTTTGCCATAATTATCTTAATATTCTTTATTTTGTTAGCTATGTCAGCACTAAATTAAATAGAGTTGATGATAGAAATTAAAAAAGAATACTAAGAAAATGTAAAAGATTTAAAAATGAAAATATTTTTAAAGACTAAAACGAGACAAAGATATACTTACACAAACTTAAAATATATTTAATCTTTAGAAAATATTGAATTCAATTTTAAACTAAAAATAAAAAAAATTAAAATAAATGAGAAGTTGAGAAAAATCTCTAAAACACCCTTATTCAAGAAAATTAGCAAAAAAATAAAAATGCCCCCAAGAAAATTAGCTAAAAATGTCTCTGTTAAAGAATAATTTCTATATAAAAGATAACTATTATATTTTAATGCAAGGCTTTTTTAATTATTGATATTTAAAAAAAAATTAAAATTCAAGACTTAAATTTTTTTTGAAGGAGATTAGATTAGAAGTTGAAAAAAATCTCTAAAATCACTCCCGTTAAAGAAAATCGACTAAAAATACTCATTGAAAAATAGTTAAAAAAATCTTGTTCAAAATAACTATTAATATATATATATATATATGTGTGTGTGTTTTTAATTATTCATAATGTTGTTTTTAATTATACTATAATATAATGTTTTTAATTATTCACAATTTTTTTTAAAAGAGTATTAAAATTTAATTTAAAACTAAAATTATAAAAAGATAAATTAAAAATAAAAAAAGAGAAGTCAAGATAAATTTCTAAAGTTAATTATATATATAATATATGTGTATATGCCTAGTCATGATTTCGAATAAGTCAAATCAAATGTAATTCAAATATAACTCATTTATTTATAAAGTTTAATTTTCAATTCAAGTTCAACTTATTTAATCTATGCTAATTATTAAATTAGATTTCAAATTATTTTCAAGTTCATTTAGTTGAATGTTATCCTATTGGTGAGTAACTCTTTTAATAAGTCTTGGAGCAACAGTCAAATACATTTCAGAGGACTGTATTTGCAGAGTCTCAACTCTCGGTATCTTACGCATAATCGTTTGCACTGTCAAAGTAACCCTGTTTTAACTGCTGCAGCCTGCAGGTTTATCATAAAACCCTGTCTAAAGAAAGGAAAGGCCCCAATAAATATCATACTTTAGTTCTAATTAAGGCCGTTCTCAAAAGACGTTACAAAACTAGCTACAAAGAGAGATCAACATTCAACACAACTATGATACTCAATGAATCATATTTCTTTAAATGGCAGGCATGCTGGAAACATACCAACACGAGTAATATCGGTAATAGCATGGCATCTTAAAACATATGGCAAAAGAAAAAGAATAGCAATACAGAAGTAATTTACTTTCATCTACAACAAGTCATGGTTGATGAGTATTACATAAAAAATTCAACTGGACATAAAAATACAAGGAAGCCAGTATAAAAGCTGTATTAATAGCATCAAGGTTCCAATCTAAATAAAATTAAAGACTAGGACCAACCAAACAGGGCACGAATAATACCAAGTATGCCACCACCAATGAGAGCTTTCAGCAATCTCATCTTTGTATTTGTGTATGGTGGGTACCTTATTGGTGCATCACCGATAAAACTGCGATAAAGAACTGCCTTTTTGTGGCTAAAAGCATCAAATGAGAATTTCCCATGGTATGAACCCACTCCACTCTCACCAACTCCCCCAAATGGCAAAGTATGAACCGCAAGCTGTGACAGGCAAAAAAGCAAACGGAAAACAGAAACACAGATGAAGAGTGTTCAGATTTTAAAACCACAAATGAAAATGTGAGCATCTGTAGACGGAAAAGCCACATTTAACCTGAAGAAACTCATTTGGATATGAACCAATAAAAGAAAATGCATGGGGATGCAAAGAACACATTTTATCTATAAGATGCTACTTACTATAGATAATGGAATCTGAAAAAACTATAAGAAATTATTTTCACGTCATTTTCTTTAATCTTGTACAATAATACAATTTGTCACATGGCTTTCAGTCAAATTTATTTTTAGTCTTGAAGCAGATTAGTGATCACCTATTCTTGTTGTTCTGTTTGCACATAAGAATCAGAGAAGTACACAAATGCTCAGAGATTAAAGGGTAGACATAGAAATTACATGTAAAGTAGTGTCATTAACCACCAAACCGCCAGCTGAAATAGTCCCAACAAATTGCTCCTTGAGCTTCTTGTTAGTGGTAAATATATATGCAGCGAGAGGCTTTGGTCCTGAATTGATCACGTCAAAGCTTTCTTCGAGTTTGTCAACCTGTTACAGGCAAGGGAAAATAAAGCATTCTGATTGATTGGCTGTGGCTTTAATTTATTGATAAACATTTTACAATCACCTTTTCCAGGTTGATTTTAACAATTGACTTCAATTCTTTAAATGTCGACAGAATATTACCAGCTATTTATTTATTTAGATGGTTTGTGGACATGACAAAAACAAGTGTTTACTGAACCATGTGAAAAACTAGGCCTATATATTTTCATTAGACTACTCGTCTACTCACTACCGTAAAAGCAAGCAACCAAAGAAACTAACGAAATTTTGAAGAAAATCTCCCAAAAACAGTTACTACGTTGTAATTGTGTCTTAACTCCTACCGTGAGGATGGGAAGTAAAGGACCAAATATCTCCTCAGTCATGATCAAAGAATCCCGTGGGACATCCAATAGAACAGTGGGGCTAATCTTCCTGAAATTTTGAGGAAAAAGAAATGCTAGGGTCAAGATCTATTGCATTTCACTAAATCAATACTTCATCAATAAAGTACCCCGGAAAGCATATAGAGAACTTACAATTTGCTTTCATCCTTTTTCCCTCCATAAACAATCTTACCAGAAACCTTATCATCATCCAAGAGCTTTGTCAAGCGGGCAAAATGGTTGGAGTTCACAATACGGGACAAATCTTTTGATTCTAATGGGTTCTTTCCATAAAATGTCTCCAATTCAGCCTTTAGGGCATCGACCTAGAAATAGGAGGCACCAAACACTAAACAAACAGACAAATTTAGAATTCTAATTACACTTAAGAAAAAATTATTACCAACTTGGGAGCATAGTCTTTTGTTGTTATAATATAATCTGGAGAAATGCAAGCTTGTCCATTATTACAACCCCACTTTCCTGCAATTATTCGTCTTGTTGCTACCTTGCCAATTCAAATTCAAATTAATTTAGGTCAAAAGTGAGATGCAAAGAGGTCAAAGTGATGGCAAGTAATTGATACAAATAAAACAGGACAAAAGTATACCTTTAAATTGATATTTGAATCAACAACAACTGGAGATTTTCCTCCAAGCTCCAACACAACTGGTGTAAGGTGTTTTGCAGCAGCAGCCATCACAATGCGTGCCACTCGTCCATTACCTAAAATTCCAATAGTTACAATTTAAGTAAAGGATAGTATCAGACCCAAGTATCATTGTAATAAAACAAAAAATTAAAGAAAATCCAGCATCAGATCCTTGCATATTTATAGCAAACTGGATTTCTTATATGGGACTGACACCAATAGTCTAAACAGCATGTCACAGATGCAAGCACAGTCAATGCAACTGAAAGTCTAAAACAAGTACAAGGGCACTCGGTCACATCACAACCATTGAACATGGATAAAGACTATAACCTTATTCCTTGTTCTACTTAAAAGTACAATAATGCTCAGGAGTCAAGAGACTCTAGACTAACCTATCTCTAATCATCAATTATCCTGCAGCATTTAGAGAACTGTCAAGAGCCATACTACTTATAAGCTATGTTCTCATCCAAATTTCCAGATATGTATCAATTAGATACAGCTATTAAAAAGCTTCGTACTTCAATTTATTTTATCATCCACTGAGACACCTTCAATATGTTGGTCAATAAATTCCTATGCTATTTTCCCAAGCAAATAGCATACCAGAACCTGACAAATGATGTGAATCATGTGATTCAACAAGGTGTATGGCCATATGCCTCTATAAAGATATTTCAAGAGGCAGATATACTGCTCAAAATCGTAATCTGTGCCAACTATTACTATTTCATGTCCAATAACAGTACCATCTCAGATGTATTCCAATTCCAAGCAGTACTGCGATCATTAAATTATAACAATCTTTCCAATCATTATTTAGAATGAAGTATTTTCTATTCCAAATAACAGAAAAGAAAGAAGCATTTCAAGAAACAGCTTTCTAGAAGTATATAGATTAGGTGCCTATGAAGCCTACAAATATAATCTGAACACTTCTATATTAATGATTTAAAAAATGAAATACTTCCCTTGTTCTCCACCAAACTAGAGGAATATAAACATTCATGCTTATCAGACATATTGGCAGTTGAGATTTTTCTACTGTCATAATTAAATATTTTAAAATTTCTGCAGTTTTCTGTTTTGCTTGTAAGTTTTGATTAAAAGTTATTAATGTTCAAAAAAAGTAAGTTGTACAAACAAATAATATTTGCTTGTTAGTTTAGTCATAACTTGTTATTTGGTTTATCCAATCAAGGGTTGGTCAATTTTAATATTTAAGCACTTGAAGTAAACACTTTCAATGTGTGCAAAATTGAATTCTTAATTCAAATATATCATATATGTTTTTGCTCCTTTTGTACATGTGAAGTTCAATTTTTGCTCCTTTTGTATGTGTCAAGTTGCAGATTTTTTTATTTCAATTTGTTATTTGTTCTTAATCATACACTCCTGTTTTTCATGTTTTGTTTTCAACAGATATTAAGGTAATAGAAATAAGCAATACTGGATATGTATGATCATTGATAATAGCATGTATCAAACCATCCAATGGCTAACAAATAAAAAAATACACATTCAAGTTTTTGTAGCACACCTGTTAATTTTTAGGAGCTTAAAGAACAAATGTTATACTTAAACTGACATCTTTCATGACCAAAAACAAAATCAAAATTTTATGAAACTAGGTATTCTAACAGAAAATTCTGCTTACATAACTTGGTTAGTTGTGATCCTTAAGTTAGGAAATACGAATATAACTTGAATGAGAAATATTTTGTATACTTCTACTTTTTTCTGGGTGAAGTAATGCACTTGATGAATTATCCAAAAGGAATATCAAAATTTGCATATGTACAATAACTTATCTAAAGACATACTTGCAACACACTCATTTAGTAAGATCCATGCGGGGTAAAAATCATTTAGTGAGACTCACATAGATTTCACCAAATAATGAGTGTTGAAGAAAGCATGTCACACAGCTAACATGCCTCTATAAAAGAAGACCAATTATAGGGAAAATTTAGTCAATGAGAGAACCAAACTCATTACAGGATTCTAAATCATCAAGAGAAGAGAAACAAACAAGAACCTGTATAGAAAATTTTGTCCCACTTTTGCTGCAGTAATGCAGATGTTTCATCAACTGCTCCCTCAACAACTCTAATACATGAGTTGTCCATGTAGTCTCCCAGCAGTTTCACCATCAGTGATGATGTGGCTGGAGCAATTTCTGATGGTTTTAAAACAACAGTATTACCAGCTGCAATAGCTCCAATGACTGGATCAAGTGACAACACTGGAAAGATAGATAAAGTAATGTTATCATCATTATGGATTTTCAAGATACAGCTTGGAGGAAACAAAAAGGCGAAATGTCAGCTCAAAAGCTTATGAAACAAGGTAAATTAAATATTAACATACAAAAAGGGTAGTTCCATGCAGAGATGATTAACACAACCCCCAGTGGTTCAGGTACAATTTCAGCTGAAGAAGGAAAAGTAGTGATTGAAGTTTTGACCTGCAATAAAGGGAAATTCATGAGATAAATCAAAAGAATAATGTCACACAAAATCAGCAAAGAAATTCACATAAAATATACCTTTTCAGGGGTCATCCAATGTTTCAATTCCTTGAGTGCGACTTTACATGAGTTTTTCAACATAGCAATCTGCATAACAAACTATCCCCAGTTACAAGAAGATGGAAAATATCATACTTAACACCATTCTGTTGATTATATCAACCCTTCAACAACCTAATAAGAAATAGTCAGAAAATTTGGTTTTAATTCCACATTATCAGATTCATGTCCTTATAATGTTTACTTAGAAGTGAATATTATGTCTTAGATTAATCTGTAATAAAATTTCCAGTATCTTGGATAAATAGATTTAGGTCTTTTCCTATCCAAGGGGTATTAATAACTGAATGCACAGGACCACTGGTTGCACATGATCGGAGATCTCCAATCCATACACAGACATATCGACTCAACAAAACCTTATACACTTCAATAACATTCAAAAACAAGCAGAGACATTTTTAGAAACAGGTTAGGAAGAACTCAGCAGCACTAAATAGTCAAAGTCCAAAAATTTCAAATTAGATATAATCAATTCAATATGCATATACCCAACAAAAATTATCATTGCAATTCGGAGACCTATAATTATGAATTGTCTGCCATACATTTGGCATAACTTAAAACAGAACGGTGCAATACACCCAGACCCCTGGTTCTTCTCTAAAAACAAAGATTTTCATTTGTGTTTTTGGCACCAATAAGTATGTTTGGGATGTGAGGATGCATTATTTTAGATCAAGGCATGCCAAAAGTCTCAGCAGACAGCTTACATAGGTTCTTGAACCGTTTGCATAAATATACATTTCAATCTTACCAGTTTAGCTAATCCTAATTGGCACACATTTTCCTGTTCAAACAATCACACAATGTGTGAATAGAACTGTCCTTGAAAAGAACTAAATTAGTGGAAATGTTCATTAGTAACTCCATTATATACATAATAGCAAGTGGCATCTCACAGCTAAACTGAAATCTTATTAGTCAACCTCATGAAAGGATGGAAATGCATCTGATCAACTAAAAAGGCAAAACCCGCACCACCACCTAAACAACACACCACAAACACACAAAATTTATATTAAGAAAAAAAAACGCAGAAACCAGAAGGCACCAAGGACGAGGTGCACTGCAACTACATATCCTGTTACAGTAGTTTAAGTAAACACTTCGACTACTCTACATTTGGTGGCACCGGCATTGGCAATAAACTAAAAGTTAACTTAACCAACTAAAAATAAAGTTATTATGAGAAAAACAATTATGATTTATGAATGAATAATACATGTACTCCAAAGAGAACTTCATTGTCCATAATAATCTTAGTCCAATCACTCAAGCCCATGGAAAATAGTTGTGGCCTCGCCCCAAAATAATAGTATATATACTCATCTAATTACAAATTATTATATATGATAAATTTGATAACTTTAACACTCTAATGTATGTCTAATAAACTCAACTTAATTATTTTTTCTTATGTCACCATGTTATTGGGACGGGTATATCCATCCATTTTATCTTACCAATGACTAATCTTCAACAAAAAAAATATAACTAAGTATCTTTAGTGAGATCTCCCTTTAGGACAACTTTATTTTATCATCCACAGTACTGAATTTCGATACTTTGCATAAGTTGCTTCTCAAACCAACAAATAAATACTCCTAGTATATGTCTAACGCAATAAATACTTATACTAAATTTCTGATGTAATAAATACATTCTTTCATAGTCCCTTGTTGGTTGTCCATAATCAGCCATAAGTGCTGCCGTTAATAAAGTCCACGAATTGAAGAATCAAAGCCACCTATCCTAGATTCACAGGCAAAGTTGCCAGGCCCACAACACTGGCCCACGCTAAAAGTAAGACGCCATTAATGCTCACACCAAACATCCCATGCCCCAAACGGCAACGTTTCCAACACCATAGACAAAGAAACTCAAACCGCAGTCCTCAGACACAAATCACCAACCAACCAATAAACCCCCTTTAGCAAAATTAAAATCCCGAAAAAAACACAACACAACACGTCAACACTTACACACAGAGTAACTTAACATAACATAAGCATTGTTCAGAAAGAATTTCTGAGGCGACGATATGATATACTATTGATATGTCACACTCGTCACTCTGTGTCACCCTAATAAATGAACAGCTCAAACTCTATATTCCAAATCCCATCACAAAACTCACCTGCGAACGATTCTCGGAATAATACCGAGGTCAAACCAAAAATATTAAAACTAAAATTAAAATTTAAAAAATGAATAAAACGCAAACGAGTAACTGCGATTGCTGAAGAAACGACAAGACCTCGTAAGCGACGGTTTCGAGCGGCGGCTTGGCGATGTCGTTTCGGAGAGCGTCGACGATCTCTTGCTCTCGTTCGACGATGAGTTTAGCGAGCGCTTTGAGCTGCGACACTCTCCACTGGTAACCGCGCGTTTTGCCGGAGGCGAAGGTTCCGCGCAGCTCCTTCACGAGCAGCGACGCCGCTTCCGCGTCCACGAACGCTCTCTTCTCCTCCTCCGACGTCGTTTTGTCTGTCGACGTGGACATGGCCGACAACAAGAGGATGTGGTGCAGAGTTCAGTTGAGTGGTGAAATGATAAATCGTTCGTTGGTTAGTGCCGATATTTCCCATTTTATAGCTGCCATTGGATTCGCTAACTCAGGACACTGAAACTCATAACTAACTACGTAGCGAGGAGATTAGTTATTGCTATTAATCTTATCCGAAACAAAAAAAACTCATTACTGTTTACTTTGCTTTCCTAAATGCTGATGATTAAATTTGACATTTTGCTATTTACTCTTTAACCACCAAAACTCATTCATAACTAATATTATCAACACTCTGTTCTAAACGTGTATTTCATATATCATTATTATGAGGTAAAATAATTATGTCAAACTAACATTTTTTTTATTTTTATTTGTGTATTTGATTTTTATTAACACTTGTGTCATCTTTTATCTATTTTTCTAAATTAAGTTTCATTGTTATTTTAATTAATAATAATTTAACATGGTTTTATATCAATGTAAATTATTATTGTAATTTAAAATATAAATAATATATTTAAATATGTTGATTACAAGAAGAGGAGAGTGCTGTTGACGCAGTGATGGAAGCGCGTGGGAGGAGAAGAAAGTTGCTTGTAAATTCTCCCATCCTTCGAATCTGCTAACGTTTGGTTTCCGTCATTTGGGTTGTTTGGACTTTTGGAATTGTTTGGTGCTCCTACTCCAGTTGCTTGTACGACTTTATTGTTATTATTATTTTGGTTATTTAATGATTTTTTTTTAATTTTAACTCATATTTGATTTTATTTTTAAAATGTAGTAAAACACATAAAATCAAAGTTTTTGTCCTTTATCATAAGAATGTTTCTTGTATATTTATTTTTCATTATTAATTTTATCATTATTTAATATTTATTTCATTATTAAAATTTATAAATTGTTAATTATTTTAAAAGAAAACTGTTGGTTGAACTTTTGTTTCTTTAAATATCATTTTACGTATCTAACACCTCTAATTTATTAGTTATAATAAACATGTTATGTAATCTTTTAATATATAAAAATACTTGAACCTTGTATTTTTTTAAAAAAAATTGAATTAACCTTTTCATGATAAATATAGTGTCATCTTCTTTCAAAAAAAAAAAAAATATTGTGTTATCTCAAAAATTAAGGAAAAAAAACTCAGTTGTTTAAAACTTCAATGCTAATTAATTTTTATTATCAATTAAATTCCTTACAACCATCATTATTTATTAAAAATAAATAATACATTTAAATTTAAATTTAAATTTTTTGTATTAAAAACAAATTATTTGTTGTTGACACTTTTTTTTACGGTACAACACATTATTTGTTATTGACTAAAATTTATTAAAAAATATAAATTTAAATTTCACTTCTCATTTAATATTTTTAAAAATTAATTCAATAAAATTTAATTAATAATGAATTATGTTAAAAAAGATATTTATAACATTTCTCTTATATATACAAGTAGAAAGAAATACAAAGTGTTTTTCTATATTTTCTCAAAACTAAAAATAAAACAAAAGAGAGAAAAACATAAATGAATAAAGTTAAATAAAACATGAGTAAATATCAATAAAACTAAAAGATAAAAATATCTAACAATAAGTATATATAAAATGACATATTTAAATTAGGTTACTAGTTGATATGTGTATAAACCAAGTTCTAAACATGGATATATGACCTTATCTCTTTAAAGTCAGATCTTATTTGACTTATTTTAAAAAAATTTAAATTTAAATTTTTTTTAAAAATATATTTATATAAAAAGGTTAAGTTTAAACTTATAAAAAGTTTATTATATTTATAGGTTAGTCTATTTATTATATAATATAATATAAAAAAAAATATATATATATATATATTAAAAATATAAATAAACAAATAATATTTTTTATACAATTTTTTTTTAATTATAGATTTATAAACTTACAACCTATACTTGAATATATATTAACATACATGACTAAGTATGAATTATTCTTCTAACAAAAAATGATTTACTTTTTTTCCTATATTTTATTTAAAACTTAAATCTTAATAATATTGAATAAATTACTATATTATAAAAATAATTTTATTTATATAATATAATAAAAAATTAATATGCATATATTAAAAATATAAATAAACAAATAAATTTATAAAGTAAAAACAAATTATTAATATTTAAAAAAAATTTATATAACTATTTTTTTCATTATGAGTTTATAAACTTATGATATATGCAGGTACATCAACATACATTACTATGCATGAATTGTTCCTTCAACAGAAAATGATTCACTTTTTCTGTTATATTTCTTTTAAAATTTGAATTTCAATAAAATTGAGTAAACTATATATTAAAAATAAATTTGTTCACTTTTTAAAAATGATATCTATTGACCTAATTAACATTATTAATATAAATAAATTAATAGGTTAGGTCAAACATTAAAAAGCTTAGAATAAATCTATAATAAAGCTTATAATAGATAATAGACTAGATTTAAACTTTAATTTTGTAACACAAGGCACAGCTTGTATATTTTAAACATGGCTTATTTTCATTCCTACTAATAAGGTCGAGATATTTTGTGTTTCTATATTTTATTTAAAAATTTAAAAACAAATTAAAATTGAAGTTAAATAATGAAGATGGTTAAAAAATTGAAATTTTGAGTAATTAGAGATGATTGGTTTATTTAAATAATTACATGAGTAGTTAATTTCTAACATTATTTTTATTATTTAAAAATAAAATTATTTAAAGAATTAAAAACAAAAAGCAGTTATAAACAATATATCTCCTAGTTATAAACAAAAAGCAGTTATAAGCTTCCATGAGAAGCCATCTATATACGTCATTCCCAACATATATTGAACATTACAGAAACTGTGCTAACAACTATGTTTATACTTTTTAACATTTCTCTTTCTCCTTTTGGTAAACGACTAGTCTCTTTTATGAGTTTTTAATATAACATATAAATAAATTTTACGCCTGCATTTAATAATGTGTTCTTACATAATTTGATAACTTTAATATTTAGATATTTATATGCAGTATTTGATGGCTCATGTGTGGTTACATACAGGGATGGTAAATAAATTCGTACCCGTATGATATACCAGAACTCGTCCCGATTTTGACCGGAAATATTCGGTTTGACCGGGTACGGGTATGGGTATGGGTAAAACCCAATAAATTAAACCGGATACGGGTACGGGTATGGGTATATATATACCTGCCACGTACCCGTACTGGTACCCGTACCTGATTTAATTATATTAAAAAAATTTAATATTTTATTATATGTAATTATTTATTATAATGTGAAATATTTATAGTTGTATAATTATTAAGAAATCTCTTGATTGAAATATGATATAAAGAAATAATCTAATTATGATTATAATATAATAGGAAAATAATTTAAAAATATTATATTTTTTTGTAAAAAAATAAAAATAATTTTTTACGGGTATGGGTACGGGTATACCCGATACCCGACGGGAACAAAAATGGGGATGAAAATCACATACCCAACGAGTACGGACACGGATAAGGGAATGAATTTGTATCGCGAGAACGAGAATGAGTATCATAAAACCCGTACCCGCCCTGCTCCGTTGTCATCCCTAGTTACAGATGATTACCTTTTTCTTAAGAAAACACATTTCTATTTATTTGTGGTTTTTAAAGACAACATTAATTAATTAATAGTCAATCATACATTGCTTACACGTCTAAAACTAACAAGCATTTATTATTATTAAAAAATTAATTTACATTTATGGTGGAGTAAAAAGTAAAGAAAGTCTTCTAAATTATTTTATAAAAAAAATTATATATATTATTTAGTTTGTATATAAAAATATTAAATGATTATTAAAATAAAACATAAGTATTTAGTTTGATAATATACATAATCTTCAAATCTCAAAGTTAAAGAATCTTAAGGAAGATATTCAAGATCTTGAAATCCAAAAAAAATAATAATAATTCCAACGAAGTTAGAAAATACTCTCACTAATATTATAATAAAAAAATAAAACAAAACACAAGTAAATTGAATGACTTTTATTTTAAAAGAAACGTTATTTCGTCCAAAATGAAGCTCCAAAAGTCATTTCAAATCATAAAAAATTAATTTAAGTTTTAAAATATTAAATAAAATAATTATTTTATAATATAATTATGGAAAGGTGTCAAAATTTTAAAGATTCAAAAACTGTTTCGGATGTTTTATTTTGGAGGATATAACAATCCTTTTATCTTAAACAATTGAGGGGACAATTACAAGCGTTGTGTTTTGGATCTATATTCTAAACTTTGCACTTTGTAAGAAAGTGTTTTTATTTTTCATTTTTGTATTCAAACCAATAAAGGATGAATTCTGAGGTAGATTATTAAATAGATAGTTTAGACTTTAGACTACTGTTATTAGTAGTTAAGTTTATTATTAAAATATTTAATCAATTATTTGTCATTTATTTAAGAGCTAATAATAGTTGTGATACTAGAATTTGTCAAAAAAAAAATTAAGTTGACCTCCCCTATGATTATTATTATTATTATTATTATTGATATTTTATTATTATTATTATTATTATTATTATTTCGTATTTTAAAATTAAATAATCTTTTAAAAAGTTAATTTTCACTTATTTCTCTTTTATTTATCTTCAACTAAATAATCTCAATAATTTTATTCTATTTCTTATTATTTATTTTTCTTCTTCTACACTTTTTTATATATATATTTTTCTATTTCTATATTCTCTACAAAACACACCTTAAAGAAATCTCTTGAAGACATTGAGCTTAAAGAGACTTTTACAAAAATTATTTGTAACACATCTTTTGTAATACCATGAGTTACGATAGTATTATATTATTCCTAGTTGTATTATGATGCTAAGTTGAGATGTTTGTGTAGAAGGAGTTCATGGGGTTTGAGAATCTCTTTTGAGTTTCAATGATGTTGAGAGGGGTTTCTTTGGACAGACACCCAATTTGACCCTAGATGGAAGAATATATAAGGTTTTTGTTTTAAATAGTCTCATAAACTCATTTCCCTCAAGTTTTTAGAGAGAGGATTCTAGAGAGTAGGTCTCTAGTTCATAAGCTATT